TCCTAAGGGAGGAGGCGGTCTTCAATAATGGCATGGCCAGGAGCCCTCTCGGAGGCCCGCTTGCCACCGAGAGGCGACGCCACGTCCAAGGCGCACTGGCGCACAGGCGCACCGACGACAGCAGTTCGGGGGCGGCCACGAGCGGGGGTGATGACCACGGGGGTTTCTCCGAAGGCTGTAGGCGACCCGTCTGCCTCCTCCTCCTCCTCCGCCTCCTCCTCCTCCTCCTCCTCCCTCCTCCTCCTCCTCCGCCTCCTCCTCCTCCTCCACCTCCTCCCCCTCCCCCCTCCTCCTCAACCTCCTCCTCCTCCTCCTCCACCTCCTCCTCCTCCTCCTCCTCCTCCTCCCCTGCTTCTCCTCCTCCTGCTCCTCCCCCTACCCCCCCCACTCCACCTGCTGCTCCTGCTCCTGCTCCTCCTCCTCCTCCTCCTCCTCCTCCTCCTCCTCCTCCTCCTCCTCGGGTCGCCTACGGCCCCGGGGGAAACCGTACAGGTGATGACCAAGGGGGATGGATATCACAGTGGGGGCCGTGGATCAGGAGAAATACACACAGACACAAGTAATCGTCGATTCCCAGGAAGATGTGGAAACATCATATGGGAAGTGGGGGCGAAGACGACAACCCAGTAAATATAGGGACATAGGAAAACCTGGGATTTGTGTATATGTATTGGTGTGTCCCTGGCACCCTTTAACAGATATCATGGCGCCCATTCTCATTTCAATATGTCTCCGGCCTCCCCCTGGGCCGCGCACATTCCGACGCCCACGATTTGCGCCCCCCTCCTTTTGGATGCCCCACTTTTGGCCGCCCCCGAATAGTGAGCCCTCCGATGGCAGAAGGCGGCGATCATTCTCGATCTTGCTGCCCTGACGCGCACGTGTTGAAGCGCAGCGCGTGCAGTGTTCCGCGCGTCTCTCACGCAAGTGCTGGCCCGCGCTTTGGCGAGCGTCTCGCGACAGACCTACGTCCTCAATGTACACGCGTTGTGCTCCGTGTCAACACGCTCCTGGTTGCGTGTTGCGTGCGGTAGGTTCGTGTCGTGTCGACCGACGGCGACCCCGCCGCCGGCGTTCATCGTCGAACGCCGGCGGCGGCCCAGAATCGGTCGATGTTGAACGAGTGGGCGTTGCGGAGACGGCCGATCGTTCAAGGCTGAACGATCCCCGCGGTGTCGGGAACCAGCGCCCGGGGCGACACGACAGACACCTGCCGCACGGGGGGCAGCCAAGGCCACGGCCGAAGCAGAGGAGCCAGCGCCCCAGCGCGGCGCGAGCCTTCCCGAGGGGCCGCCGGTGCCTCCTCGGCGCAGGACGCCCACCCTCGCTCGGAGGCCTCCGGATGCCACCGGGGGTCCTTGGTAGCCTCGGGGAGGTTCTGGAGGCCCCAGGAGGCTCCAAACATACACAGTGTTCTCATGTCTAATTATTCGAAAGTTCATTTTTTGGGGCGGGGGTCCAAGATCCTTTCATTTCTAATTGTTCTATCCTGGTCCTCCTCCTGGCCACATGGGGGGCCAGGAACAATTAGAAACGAGCACAATTAGAAGTGAGCGCGATTAGAAATGAACGACATGTACCCCCCTGGACGCCCGACGTCGTGATTTTGCTTGCGATTTGGATCCCCAGAGGTCCTGACCCCTTCCAAAGCATTCGGCTCTACATCCCGAGATGTTTTTTGACGGCCCCAGGGCCAGCCGTGGCTCAAGATAGTGGCCTACGGAACTTGGCATCGCTCGGACGTGTGCATTTTTCCTTCGGCGAGGACCATCGAGGAGCATCCTTGATCATTTGGCGAAAAAACCACGCACGAAACCGACAAAAACACAGGGAATGGACGTCCGAGCGATGGCGAGCGGAAAGAGCAGCAACGTGAACGATCCATTTCCAGCAACTTCGGCCTTCCAGTCTGGGTCTGGAGACGGAGGCCCCCCCGAGGCGGCGCTCGCAGAGGGGGAGGGCGCGGCCCTCTGCTGGAGGCGAGGGGGCACCCATGAGCAGGCGTGGGCCTCCCCGGAGGTGCCCGCGGGCTGCCGGGAAGGCCCCTCTCGGACGCCGGGAGGGCGTCCAAGAGACCACCCGTCGTTTGACATCCGAGGCCCCAAAGCCATCAGGTCACTAATTTTGGGCCCCAGGGCCCACTGAGGCCCCAGGAGCCCCAGATTAGTGAAGTGATGTTTTTTTCCCACGTAAGGACCCCGAAACTCATCACTTCACTAAACCGAACCCAGGACGAAAGTCAGGGGCCGAATTGCTGCTGTGATGCAACATAGGTCTCGTATGACAGGGTTAAGTCGGGCACGCCCCTCTACAGGAGGAAAACTCAAAACAGTAAAAGATAGCATGGGGGCGATTTTCCGATGACTTCTTTCCTTGTTTCGAACATCTGAGGGCAAGAATAAAATTGTGTTTCACTTGTCCTCCAAAATCCGCCTGTAGGAGGACATGCCCGACCTGATTACGTGTAGGGCCCTCCTCGATCCCCGCCTTCTGACGAGGCCGCTCTGGGGGAAACCAAGAGGTACCGATACCGCTGCTCCCCGGACCTCTCGTGGGGTGCGTTCTGACCAGGACTTCGAGGCGAGTCCAGCGGTGGCGACGAGGGCCTCCCAGGAGGCCCAACAAGGGGAAAGCGAGGCGAGGGCAGCGGTACATGTAGCTACCTCTTCCTCCGAGTTCTCCCACTTCCCACCCCTCTGCGCCACGCCTCCCCTCGGCGCGCTGCCCCCCCCGTGAGCGCCGGCGAGGCTCGGCAGGGACGAAGCGGAAGGGCGACGCGCCGGCGGAGCCCTCTGGCAAGAGGGGCCGCCGCGCCGCCTGGGTGCGTCATGCGCCAGCGCTTCGCGGCATCCGCCGCCCCCGTGTTCCGTCGCTCCCCCCCCCCAGGAGTCTCGGGCGCTGTCGCCGGAAGCGCAGACAGATCGGACGTTGTTCGAGGCCGTCCGCACCCGCGTGGGGCTCATCGGGGCAACCGAAAGGCGAGTGTCCGGCGTGCGAGGGGAAGGAGCGAAGACGAGGGCGGCCGCGCGAGGGAAGGGGGGGGGGGGGAAGCGCTCAGGCGTGGAAAGTGCAAAAGCGAACACGCACTACATGCAAGACGCTGAGGTGGGGACCCCTTGGGGCTCACGAGGGGCTCCGGCTCTCGTGCTGCGCCTCTCGGGGAGCCCAGGAAGCCTGGCTGAGGCCAGCCGTGGTCGAGGCTGGCGGAGGCTGGTGCTTTCTATGGTGGTTCGCACGGCGGATGCCGGCCGAGCGCACGCAGAAGTGGCACACACGCAGAAGAGTCAGAGCCCCGAATCATCGGGGGTAACTCGGGTCAGGGCTAACTCGGGTTCATTTTTCGGGATTCCGAACCCGAGTTACCCCGGACCCGCCTTACCCCAGATAATTCGGGCGTCTAGAGCCCCGAATCATCAGGGGTATCTCGGGTCAGGGCTAACTCGGGTTGGTTTTTCGGGAATCCAAGCCCGAGTTACCCCGGACCCGACTTCCCCTGGATAATTCGGGCGCCCAAAAGAGCCGTGCAGGGTCAACCTGGCCAAGAGAGTCAAGCAGTGGCGAAGCGTCCCAGCTCACCTCTAGGCCGACCAGAGAATGTTCTAAAAACCTTTTGTGGCCTGCACGAAATGCTATTAGAACATGTCTGGCTGAGACTGTCTTGTTTTAATGCATCGGGATTATGGTCGAAGAACATTGCTGTTGTTCTGAAAAGCGTTCTTGGGGTTGTAAGAACATCTCAAGAGACGGTCGGTCCCTGCTCAAGAGAGGTTACACCCGTGCCTCATCAGGATGGTCTCGTGCCCGCCGTGGTTCCCCGGGAACGTTCAGGAGCAGCCCCCGCTTTAGCGAGCTCGTATTTTCAAGCGTGACGACTGTGTGTCGGGCAGGGGTCGGGCAAGGGCAAGCAGGCAAAGCCTGAAGCAGGACCGGTGTCACCGCAAAGCTGGAGGCCGTTCCTGCGCGGGGGGGGGGGGGGGGGCGATTCTCTCCCTCGTGTCGAATACACAGTTCTGCGCTGTACGCCGCATCAGACCTTGCCCCCTCTCCTACAATGTCATTTTCCGCCGCCATTTCATTGCAAGGACTGTTATCGCAGAGTCCTTCAAGGCACTGGCAAACATGATCTCGATCCCGGAGCATCGCTGGTACTGTAGGCCTCTTATGTTTCCTTTTAGGGAACTGGCAGCGTCAGCCGAGGCTGTGCCTGGTGCCTGGTTGGTGGGCGCCCCGTGGGCGCCTCGTGGGCGCCTCGTGCGCCCGGTGGGTCAGCCGAGGTTTCGCCCGGCGCCCGCCCGTGGGCGCCTCGTGGGCGTCTCGTGCGCGGAGTGGGTCGGCCGAGGCCTCGCCCACAGTGCCCACCAGCCGGCGCCTCGTGCGCCCGGTGGGTCCGCCGAGGTTGCTTCGGGGGCCCGCCCCGTGGGCGCCCCGCGGGCGCCTCGTGCGCGGCGTGGGTCGGCCGAGGCCTCGCCCGGTGCCCGCCCGTGGGCGCCTCGTGCGCGCCTCGCGCATATCGCGCGGGTCCGCCGAGGTCTCGCCTGCTGTCTGCCTGCGGCCGCCGCCTGTTGCATCTCGTGGGCGCCTCGCGCGTTGGGCAGCCGCGGCGATTGCACCGCACGGCTTTACAGACTGGCCTGCGCCACGCAGTTTGGATGGACAACATGGCCTGCACAGCGTGACGTGCACTTCACGGCTCGCACCGCACGGCTTGCACAGCAGAGCTTGCACCGCATGGCTCACGCCACACAGCTTGCACCACACAGTTTGCACCACTCGGCTTGCACCGCATAGTTTACGCCACATCTGCTGCACCACCATCTTGCACGGCAGGCCTTGAACACCCACATTGCAATAGTATTGCGTAGGGTCCTCGTTGGTAATCATGTCATTCGATTCCGTCGTTGACATAGGTGTGTCTCCTACGCTGCAACCTCTGAGCTTGAATAGAGACTCGTCACGGTTCATTGCCGCTCACTGTGCAAGCAGCGGTCTCGGAGGGAAGCCATAGGAGCACCGACCTTCGAGGATGACATGTTTTAGAATAAAGAAAGTCTCTGGGTGTGTTGGCCAACGCGGGACCCCTCGTGGCCCAGGAGTGAGCCGCTTCCCATTCTGGCCAGACTGCACTCCAGCATTCAGGAGGGAAAACACACAGACACCATGAATCGTCGATTCCCAGGAAACTATGACAAACTATGGGAAGTGGGGGGGGAAGACGAAACCCATAATAGATGGAACATATGGGGAGTCTTGGAATTTGTGTGTAGTTATTTGTGTGTCCCTGAGCCGCCATCAATGATCTCAGGGTTGGATTGTTGGCCCTCGGACCGCCCCTGGCGTCGTGAGACCACACAGCAATCGCGACGACGGCTGTCAGGAGGAAAAGAAACACCACAGACACAATTCATCGTCGATTCCCGCCAAAAAATATGGGAAACCATAGGAAGTAGGGGAGAAGACGAACATACCGAAAATATGAGGAACACACAATGGGGAAATCTGGTAGTTGTGTGTATCGTTGACTTATTTGCGTGTCCCTGGGCCCCTTCAAGTTGTTTCTGTCCTGTTCGGCTTCTGGCCGTGAGCAATCGTCTCGGAGAAGAGGTCCAGAGCCCACGTGGTGAGAGAGCAGTCGGCACGGAGAGCAGGTAGTGGGGGATTCAGCCCTGACGCAAGGTCAGCCAGTCGCATCCGACCCTTCCAGGTTGCGTCGGGCTTGGGGGACACGTGCACGCCCGTCGTTGGAAGTAGGTATGTTTTTGGATTCCCAGATCCCGGTGTGCTTCAAGTGGGCCGACCTGAATCCAATCTGCTTTGTCTGCCTTTCTGCTTCCTGTTGTTACCCACTTCGTCCGACCGACGTGCAGTGCCGAGCCACCTTCTCCTCCCTCCGTGGACCGGGCTTCTGGAGCTGCTTCGTGGGCCCAGGTTCGGGACAGGGCCTTGGCTGAGCCAGGTTGGCGCTGACCAGGGCCCTTTCAGGAGGGGAAAAAACACACAGACACAACCATTCGTCGACTCTCAGAAAGTATGCGAAAATATGGGAAGTGGGGGGGAAGGCAGACACCCAGAAAATATGGGGAAGTGCGGGGAATCTTTCTATTTGTGTGTATTTATTTGTGTGTTCGTGGGCCCCTTCACCCTTCCCCGAAGGACCACGTCAGAGCGTATGTTCGGGGGGGGGGGGCTGCGTCTGCCCCTGTAGGTTGCAGCGTGGGCTTGCATCCGGCGCGGGATCGGCGCAGATCCGACGTGGAGCCAACACGGGTGCGACGCGCTCGATGTGGCCTCGACGCGCGGCGCAGGCGCGGCCTCGGCTGTCGGCATGGGCTCGTCGCGGTTTGGACGCGGACTGCGGCCAAATTCGGTGGTGGACAGAACCCCCAACAGTGACACGTCGATTAGTGAATTGTCCGTTTTCGGTTCTCGAGAGGGCGCCGCGGCCGTTATTTTCCAGGCTTGCGCCCGCCAGGTTTGGGCCTCAGGTCGTTTTCACTAAACCACGTTTTACTAAAGGGAGGTCTGTCCAGCCCCGACAAATGGATGGGGCAGGGGTTCCCCAAACAAGCAGTAGCAGGAGGATGAGCGGGAGCAGGCTGCCCGCGCCCTCAACACTCGAACACAAGATCACATCAACACCCACACCTCGAAGGTCCGCGTGGATCTCTGGTGTCTACGCTGGACCTCCCTCCATACACCCCAGGGGCGGTGCCTGCTGCTCCAGCGCCGACCTGAGAAACCTGGGCGGACCGCCAAAAGTTGATGCTGATTATGCATCTGTAGCCTGATCTGCTTTCACAGCTTGTCCTGACTGAGCCGATTCGCCTTGTGTCCCCAGCTGCCCGCAACACTTGCCACGTCTCGCCGCGCATTCGTCCAAAAGGACGAGTGGTCGCGACTCGCACCCGCGCCGGGTGGTCAAAGGTAGCGCTGCTGGAATGGGGCCATTGACATCCTCTGACTAAGCTATCAAAATGCGCTTCTCTTGTCTGCAGCCCCGACCCGCCTGAATGTTCGCGCGCTCATGAGCCCTTATCTACCCAGAGACGCCTGCGTGGGGGCGGGGCCCGCGGATTAGGTACTCGGCGCTGCAGCGTGGGACCCGCCCTCTCGCTCGCTGTGCCAACGATCGCCGTTGGAAAAAATAAGCTGCGGGCTTTCTCTTATCTGGTAGCAAATTAGATCATGGGAGCCTCGAGTATTCTCGCAATTCTGTCTTTAGCGTCGATTGGCGTCGATTAGCGTCTGGGAGCCGACGAGATAGCGCCGATTTGGCGTCGGCTAGCGTCGACTAGCGTCGATATGGCGTCGCGTAGCGTCGATTCGGCGTCGACTGGCGCTGACTCGCAAGAGCCGGCGAGACGGCATGGGAGGCTCCCACGAGTTGCCACCGAAGAGCAAGAGAGGCTGCCTCCCCCCCCCCGCCCGAAGCACCGCGCGAACGCCGGCTCGCGCCGCGCCCGCGCAGCAGCCAGGCGACGCCGGCGCGGGAGGTCGGGATTTCTGAAGTCGGCGGCGAGCGTGGGGGGGCCACGGGGCTCGCTTCGCGTTCCCCCGATTCGATTCGATGCGATGTCGATGGCTTCCGATTCCGATGTGACTCGGCTTCGGGTTCCGATCTGGATCCCGATGCCTCGGTGGAGGCCCCCTAGCCTGCCGATTCCCGCCGCTGCGATTTCTCAGGGCTCGGCTGCCGATTTCCGCCGATCCAATTCATGTCGATCGCCGATCCGACTTGTCGATTCGATTCTGGTTTCTCCTGGGGAGGAGATGAATTGGAAATTGGAACATGTACATTGCCACTGGCGGGTTGATTTTAAAACCCGGGACTTTTGGAAGGTCGGGGACGACGTCCGGGTGGGTGTGGTGTATATATATATATATATGTATACACATATTTCTCAACCGTCCTCTGGTGTTGGGTCTTCGCTTTGAAGAGACAGCGCCCCGCGTCCTCACTCCTCCTCCCGCTCCTCCCTCCTCCCTCCTCCTCCTCCTCCTCCTCCTCCTCCTCTCTTCCCCCAGTTTGGCACATCTCTAACACGTTTCGTGGCCCCATAGGGAGCTCCACCAAAGGCCCAGATGCCAGCGCTCGCATGCGCCCACCGCGCCCATGTTGGTACACCCCTCGCACGTTTTGTGGCCCCATGGGGAGCTCCACCGAAGGCCCAGATGCCAGCGCTCGCATGCACCCACCGCACCCTTTTTGGCACACCCCTCACACGCTTCGTGGCCCAATGGGAAGCTACACCACAGGCCCAGATGCCAGCGCCCGCATGCGCCCACCGCGCCCATTGTGCCACACCCCTCACACGCTTCGTGGCCCCGTAGGGAGCCCCACCGAAGGCCCACATGCCAGCGCTCGCATGCGCCCACCGCGCCCGAACTCCCCTCGCGCGTTTCGTGGTCCCACAGGGAACTCCGCCAAGAGCCCAGATGCCAGCGCTCGCATGCGCCCACCGCACCCAATGTGGCACACCCCTCGCACGTGTTGTGGCCTCACAAAGAGCTCCACCGAAGGCCCAGGTGCCAGCGCTCGCATGCACCCACCGCGCCCATTTTGGCACACCCCTCATACGTTTTGTGGCCCCATATAGAGGTCCACCACATGCCCAGATGCCAGCGCTCGCATGCAACCACTGCGCCCATGTTGGCGCACCCCTCACACGCTTTGTGGCCCCATGCGGAGCTCCACCGAAGGCCCACATACCAGCGCTCGCATGCGCCCACCGCGCCAATTTGGCGGCACCCCTCACACGCTTTGTGGCCACATAGGGAGCCCCGCCGAAGGCCCAGATGCCAGCGCTCGCACGCGTCCACCGCACCTATTTTGGAACACGCCCACACGTTTTGTGGCCCAGTAGGGAGCTCCACCGAAGGCACGCATGCCAGCTCTTGCATGCGCCCACCGCGCCCATGTTGGGACACCCCTCACACGTTTCGTCGCTCCATGGCGAGCTCCACCGACGGCCCAAATGCCCGCGCTCGCATGCGCCCACCGCACTCATATTGGCACACCCTTTACACGCTTCGTGGCCTCAAAGGGAGCTCCACCGACTGCGGCGCATACAACGGCAGTACCCACAACTGCATCTGGTTGGGTCTTTCGCCAGGCTAGTTTTCCCCAACTATCCTGTGATGTTGGGTCCTCGTTTTGAAGAGACAGCGCCCCGCGTCATCACTCCTCTTCCCGCTCCTCCCTCCTCCCTCCTCCCTCCTCCCTCCTCCTCCTCCTCCTCCTCCTCCTCCTCCTCCTCCTCCTCCTCCTCCTCCTCCTCCTCTCCTCCCCCATTTTGGCACACCTCTAAAACGTTTCGTGGCCCCATAGGGAGCTCCACCAAAGGCCCAGATGCCAGCGCTCGCATGCGCCCACCGCGCCCATGTTGGCACACCCATCACACGTTTTGTGGCCCCATGGGGAGCTCCACCGAAGGCCCAGATGCCAGCGCTCGCATGCACCCACCGCACCCATTTTGGCACACCCCTCACACGCTTTGTGGCCCCATGGGGAGCTACACCACAGGCCCAGATGCCAGCGCTCGCATGCGCCCACCGCACCCATTTTGGCACACTCCATCACACGCTTCGTGGCCCCGTAGGGTGCTCCGCCAAGAACCCCGATGCCAGCGCTTGCATGCGCACACCGCACCCATGTGGGCTTACCCCTCCCATCCTCCCCTTTCTCCTCCCCTCCATCACTTTGGCATACCCCTCACACGTTGCTTGGTCCCATAGGGAGCTCCGCCAAGAACCCAGATGCCAGCGCTTGCATGTGCACACCGCACCCATTTTGGCACACCCCTCACACGTTGTGTTGCCTCATAGGGAGCTCCACCACAGGCCCAGATGCCAGCGCTCGCATGCGCCTACCGCGCCCATGTTGGCACACCCCTCACACGCTGCGTGGTCTCATAGGAGTTCCACCACAGGCCCAGATGCCAGCGCCCGCATTCGCCCACCGCATCCATTTGAGTGAAAATACTTGTTGCACGCTTTGTGGCCCCATAAGGCGCCCCACCACAGGCCCAGATGCCAGCGCTCGCATGCGCCCACCGCACCCTTTTTGGCACACCCCTAACACGCTTCGTGGCCCCGTAGGGAACCCCACCGAAGGCCCAGATGCCAGCGCTCGCATGCGCCCACCGCACCCATTTTGGCCATCCCTTCACACGTTTGCACCGAAGGCCCAGATGCCAGCGCCCGCATTCGCCCACCGCGCCCATTTTGGCACACCCTTCCACGCTTTGTGGCCCCATAGGGAGCCCCACCGAAGGCCCGGATGCCAGCGCTCGCATGCTCCCACCGCACCCATTATTGTCACACCCCTCACACGCTTCGTGACCCCATAGGGAGCTCCGCAAGAGTCCCAGATGCCAGCGCTCGAATGCGCCCACCGCACCGTTTTTGGCACACCCCTCTCACATTCTTTCTGGTCCCACAGGGGAGCTCCACCGAAGGCCCACATTCCAGCGCTCGCATGCCCTCACGGCGCAAATTTTGGGACACCCCTTAATCATTTCTTGGCCCATAGGGAGCCCTACCGAAGGCCCAGATGCCAGCGCTCGCATGCGCCCACCGCACCCATTTTTGTACACCCCTAACACGCTTCGTGGCCCCGTGTGGAACTCCACCGAAGGCCCAATTGCCTTGCGCTCGGACTCGCCCACCGCACCCATCTTGGCACACCCCTTCACACGCTTCGTGGCCCCAGATGGAGCTCCACCGAATGCGGCGCATACAACGGCGGTACCCCACAAACTGCATATGGTTGGGTCTTTCGCCTGGCTATTTGTATCCGCTTCCTAAGAAAACAACGAAACATGTATACACCAGGGTCCCGTCCACACCAGAATCCGCTTCCTGTGCGATTTTCAATGCAAGGCCAGAAAACGGGTCGGTGTATGTGGAGCTTGGTTCCCAAATCAGAAGGGGAAAGAAGACCTTCTGGGAAGGCGGCGGGACTCCTCGGAACCCCTCGTGCCTTCTGACAAGCATGTCGTGTCTTCGGGGAGGGGGCCTAGAAAGCTTCTCAGAAGGCCGGAGGACTTCCGAGTCCTCTGAACAGGCCCGCCCCCTCTCGCTTCGCCGTCAGGCGCGCCGCCTAGGCAGGCCACTGGCACCCTGAGCTTGGCCAACTGGGAAGGACCCCCGCTGTCGTCGGAGAAGAGCGCACGGCAGAAGCATAGACTTTCGGCGGTCCGTGCGGATGTCTTGGATCTGCGCTGGGGCCCCCCCTGGCTGAAGCCTCCTGTGGGGTTCCTGCGGCCCTCGGAGGTGTTCCGACTGCTCCCGCTCGAGACTTCCTCGCGATTCACTCACAAGGCTCCTGCTCGAGACTTCCTGCAGGTTCGAGCCTGGGAGGCCAAACGAATTACGCCGTTACGACATTTGGATGGCCCTGCTCGGGTTCCAACACAAGGGGGGACCACTTAGGAAGGGCACATCGAGGCCGCAGGAGCGCAATGAGCAACACGAAGTGCGGGCCCCCAAAAGGTTCGTAGTCGTAGTAGTAGTAGTAGTAGTAGTAGTAGTAGTAGTAGTAGTAGTAGTAGTAGTAGTAGTAGTAGTAGTAGTAGTAGTAGTAGTAGTAGTAGTAGTCGTAGTAGTGGTAGTAGTCGTAGTAGTCGTAGTAGTCGTAGTAGTCGTAGTAGTCGTAGTAGTCGTAGTAGTAGTAGTCGTCGTAGTCGTAGTAGTAGTAGTAGCAGTAGTAGTAGTAAGTAGTAGTAGTAGTAGTAGTAGTAGTAGTAGTAGTCGTCGTCGTCGTCGTCGTAGTAGTCGTAGTAGTCGTAGTAGTCGTAGTAGTCGTAGTAGTCGTATTCGTAATAGTAGTAGTAGTAGTAGTAGTAGCAGTAGTAGTAGTAGTAGTCGTAGTAGTAGTAGTAGTAGTAGTAGTAGTAGTAGTAGTAGTAGTAGTAGTAGTTAGTAGTAGTAGTCGTAGTAGTAGTCGTAGTAGTAGTAGTAGTAGTAGTAGTAGTAGTCGTCGTCGTAGTAGTAGTAGTAGTAGTAGTAGTAGAAGCAGCAGCAGCAGTAGTAGTAGTAGTGTAGTAGTGTCGTAGTAGCCGTAGTAGTAGTCGTCTAGTAGTAGTAGTCGTAGTAGTAGTAGTAGTAGTAGTAGTAGTAGTAGTAGTAGTAGTAGTAGTAGTAGTCAGTAGTAGTAGTAGCAGTAGTAGTAGTAGTAGTAG